GTCGAGGCTGCGGTGGCCGGGAGTGGCCACTGCACTCCAGTCTGGGCGACAGAGTGAGACTCCAACTCAAAAAGTAATAATAATAAAATAAATAAATAAATACCTAAACAGTGCAAAGACACACGTATTCTCAGAACCAATGACAATCTTGAAAATATGGCAATTTTCCATATATTAGCCAATCTTATACTGCATTAATTAGCCAATCCTGAGTTTCTCTGCTCAGCTCCATAATTATATCACATACAAAAGGAGAGCCCCAAAAAACCCAGAATTTATTTATAGAAAATTATGTGTTTATTCTTACATGTTTAAACTACAACCACCTTCAAAGTACCTCCATCTGATGCAATAAACCTATTGAGATGCTTTTTCCACCGCTCAAAACAGTTTTTGAACTTGTCACTTTTGATGCCTTTTAGTGCTTCTGCTGTTTTTTGTTTCATGTCTTCCACATCAGCAAAACATTTCCCTTTGAGAGTTTTTTCATCCAGGAAAACAAACAAAAAAAAAGTCACTTGGGGTGTGATTGGGGGAATAGGGAGGTTGGAGAATGGGGGTCATGCCATTTTGGTAAAAAACTGTTTGTATACTCAGCATGGTGTGGGCAGGTATGTTGTCATGGTGGAAAAATCAGTCACCTGTGTGCCACAACTCGGGATATTTATTCCCCAAATTATGACACAATCTTCTCAAAACTTCCAGATAAAAACTTTGGTTGACCATTTGATCCGGAGGAACAAATTCTGAGTGTATTACAAGAGGCCCTCCCGCCAAAAGATAATTCTGAGATTTTTTTTGTGTCCCCGTTGTATCTAAGAACACTTAAGGTCGTTTTTGCTTGGATTTGAACATTATAAAGTTTTAACAAAGTATATATTATTGTTTGGATTGCTTCCCCATCCCCAGAATTCTATATTTCTAAGACTGGTCCATGTTGAAACTTACGGTAGCACATAATTCATTTTTGCTACTGTATATTAGTCCATTATATGAACATACAATTTAGTTACCTATTAAACAATGAATAACAATGATTATTTGGATTTTTTCTGATTATTTACAATTATAGTGATTTCATGAACATTTCCTTTATGAGGCTTCTGGTACACCTGGGCACTGGATCACAAATATTCAACACATGAAATTCTCCCTGTTGTTTTTTTTTTTAATATAAGAAGTTAATTAATAAAGAGAGAGAGGGAGGAAAAAAAAGAAGTTGAATCCATTTGTACTTCTGCCAGCACTGCATAGGTTTTCTCCTTGTTCCACGTCCTCACCGACTCTTAATGTTAACAATCTTTAGAATTTTTTTGCCAGTGGATTGGAAATACAATGGTATTCCATTATGGTTTTAATTCTATCTCCCTGATTACTAGGAAAGTGAGGTCAGTTCCATATATTTGTTAGACTTTCAGATTTCCTTTTCTATAAAATGTCTATTTGTATTCTTTGGCCTATTTTTCTATTAGATGCTTTGTTTTCTTTTAATTAATTTGTAGGAATTCTGTATATATTTATATATATAATATAATTTTATATTTCATCATTGGTGGGGGGCAAATATTGTACCAAGTTTGTGGTTTGTCTTCTCACTTTTTTTGTGGTGTCTGATGAACAGAAATTCTTGATTTTAACGTAGTCAGATTTATTCATCTTTTTTTTTAATCGTTAGAGCTTTTGGCATCTTGTCTCAGAAATCCTTCCTATCCCAAGGTTGAAGAGACACTAT